TATTTTTTACATTTGTCACTTTATGTTGGAACGATTTCTTGTCACAGTTAGAGAAATGATTCCTTTTTCGTTTGTTTAATGCCGTCCATGATTGAAGTTTCGTTTGACCTTTTTATCTGTGATGATCGATTTGTAGTCGTGGACTGCCTGCTACCCCCCTGGGGGGCCCGGGTCTTAGGGGGGATTACCTTAATCCACGATAACAGAATCGATTTAAGTTTCTTCATAAAATTCACAACTCGGGTTTAATTTGATCTGATACTGTAAGTATCACAAAAAATTCGATTTTTTTTCTTCAGAAATTCGGCCACTTTCAATTAGTAAATAAAAGAATAATTCTAAAAAGTCCTTCCTTCATTTCTTTTAGAGAACCCAAGTTTAAAATTCAGAAGAATATATTATATAAATGTGTTGATGTTATCAACTTATCAACTTTTTGTTTATCAAGGTCTTTTTCTCCTCCTACAAACTCTTAAAGAGAAGCATTTTGTTAAGTTATTCAAACTATTCACGTAAAGCTACAGAGAGACTGACAACGAACAAATTTTACAGCTACGGACAGATTGACGGACAAAAAAATTGTTATGTATACCAAACGAAAATATCCTGGACTTCCATCCATGAAAACTAAAACCTTTAATGTTATATTATACACTCTGTCTAAACATGAGACGCTTGCTTTGGTAGAGTATAATCAGGAATCCGTGGAGTGTATTGATTTCTAAGACAAACAGACAATCAAGTACAGTCAGACCTACCCCCTCTAACTGAAAAATCTTACACGTGTTTTCGTGTTTACTTCCGTAAATCGTTTGTTTTAGAGAATTAATCCCTTTAAAGATCCGATTTTCATCTTGTTGACTTTTTGTCGCGGTGCTTGTACAGAAAAACAAGATCATTATAAGAACTAGAGCGGATGTTAGGGGACACGGTCCACACAAAGAGGAATCCGAGTCCACAGGCTTGGAATCAAATCTGCCTGATTTTGGCAGACGTCCCTAGTTCTATGTGTCTTGATGACACACCCAATAAAGGGCACAAATGACGGCCTTGATTACTGTAACAATGAAGAAACAATGTCCTTTTGTGTTACTGAATGCTGTTAATGCACCGTGTTATTGAACCAATGTCAATCTAGGCCTTGAAGTTATAGAAGAAATAGAGAGACTTGGCTTCCGTGACGACACCTTGGAAAGTGAAACGAACCGGAAACACGGAAGATCTCACGAGATGATTGTCTCGCGATATTTTGTGGATGGTTATATTGATGGCTACATCGACAGCTAACAGACGAATTAACTCATCTGCACTCAGTCCTGATCGAAGTTAATTGTGATCTAAGTTAATTGTGATATAAGTTAATTGTATTTTCACGATGTGAAAAGAAAGTAGCTGGCGCTTGTTTATGCTAGAGAAAATTAATACAATTGTTTGGATTGGAAATCTTAAAAAAACGCATTGGAAAGTAAGTTTTGGAATTCTCATTTTAGTCCAATTCAATACATGCTGTATTTTTGCTTGAAAAAGGGTCTTGTAATTTAAAAATACTTAATGACTTAAAAAACCGTATACCTTTTATTTGCCATTGTTACAGTGAATAGAACAAATCGCCACTTGTGCACCTTAATTGGGATGTATTTCATCTGCCTCATAATGCAAATATTAGTACTAATCATTTAAAACGTTTGCTTAATTAGAAAAAATAATTTATTTTAAAAGTGACACTTTTCAAAGGAAAAATTAATCTGCTTGGCATGACTACTCTGTTCCTATCATTTGTTTCATCAGAAATTTACTGTTTCATTTCTCCCGAGCTAAATCTTATTTTTTTGTCCAACGTGGAATTCGAGACTACGAACAAGATCAAAGAATTCAGATACAATTCAAATCGTACCGTTGTGTCTGTTTTCTGTAATCAAACTTTTGAATTGTATCATTTAATCATTTTCGAATACAAGAATATCAGTTGAACAATTTTACTTTTAAAACAAAAGGCGACGTTTAAAAATAAATTTCTTGCGTTTTGTTAAAAGCGTTTATGTATTAAAATCTTTGAGATAATTAGAGAATGTTTAGTCTTGTATTGGATCCAAACAAAACGTAAGTCTTGCAGTTTTTTTTTTTTTTTTTTTTGTCAGTTGAAACGATGTCATTTTCTCTGCCCTGTAAAACCATTTGAACTACATAATACATTCACGGTAGTAAATTTAATCCTAAAGTATTGGTATGCCAATGTATTTTGCCTTTTTTTCATATTTAAAAAAATGGTAGAAAAGACAAGCGATCATGTAAATTTTTCAAAATCAGTTTATTTACTTTTGACAAAAAAATATATGTATGTTTTAACGAGTATGCCTCGAGATATCTTAAACTTGAAGTAAACTTAAAAATATCATTGCACTTGCGGATTTAAAGGGAGGCAAGGGTGTGTGTGTAAAATATACCTAGGATTTAGTCAATCATTTTTTTGGGGGGAGGGGGTAGCTGTGGGTCCCTACCCCGATCCCAGACTGCCCCCACCCCTTTCAAATTCCTGGATCCAACGCTGATTTTTACACAGGTCTTTTAATGACAATACGTGACCCCTTACGTCAAATGAGTAAAAGCCGCCCTATATAGTCACTGCCGATATCCTTATATATTTTTTCGTGTCCTGAAAAAAGAAAAAGCGAGAGAGAAAAAAACAAAATCGCAAATGATCTAAATATTTTTACTTCGGTCCTATCCTGTAAAATTGCAAGGGTTTCTGAACCTTTACTTTTTTAACAACTCATCAATATTTCAAATATATGAGATGCCACTTGATTGTGAAGAAGTAGTCCGTACAAACCAGAAAGCCTTAGACGGTTGTTAAGAGTTGAATGAATTTTCACACGAACCATCTGAACCGTATCTTAAAATTATAACCGGCGCAGTGTTAACAATATCTCATTGCTGATTAGGAATTATAATCAACATTTAATTGTCTCTCTGTCTTCCCATTATTAAAGATTCACGTAACCGAAACGCTCTGAAATTAAATAATAAGAAAAAGAACATAAATATTTTAACGAAATGAAGGGAAAAATATTTTAGCGATTTGACATTTCTGTAATAGAGGAAAAAGCCACAGGCACCTGACGTTACTTATTTTTCTTTTAATAAAAAAATATACACATACCTAATACTATTATTAGGTATGTCTATATTTTTTTTTTATTAAAAGAAAAATAAGTAACGTCAGGTGCCTGTGGAAAAAGCGTGTGTGTTTTTATATGCAAGCTTAAGTGTGTAGAGACGCAACTTTTTTAGATAACTGAAATTTAGGTTTTACTATTTTTTGATCGCATTTTTTTAAAAGTGTGGCAAACTACTTTGCTGCATAGATCTCGACCCAGAGAGAGAGAGAGAGAGAGAGAGAGAGAGAGAGAGAGAGAGAGAGAGAGAGAGAGAGAGAGAGAGAGAGAGATTAAATGCCTTATTCGTTAGATATAAATATCATAACTTACATCCTTTAAAGTGACCTAGTAAAAATGTTTTAGGTAAACTATTTAAAATAATAAATGAAAATATAAGGAATTGAAACTAGAAATCAACATCATTACGGCGATGTAGAAGGTAATAAGTTGACTATAGAAAAGTCCTTAGTATTAAAATTCTGTTATATCTGACAATATGACAATCAATTCCATATGTCAGATTTTCTCTTATCAGTGGAAAATCAATTAAATTAAATACAAAATTAATTATTTGCTTACTTATGTTATGTAAATATCAAGTCAAAACCACTTCTGAATAACCCAAAAAGCTGTGTTTCAAATATATATATTACTTATTTTAAGTAAATTATTTTGTCACTGTTTCTATAACTATAAAATTGAATTACTTAAAATTACTAATAAATATTATAGATTACTTATCATGATTGCTATGGTGACAAACTTTTTTACTTAAAAATTACTTAAAATAAGTAATTCGTTTACTTGATTTTAGTAAAAGTAAGTAATATTTTTTTTGAGTGAGAGAGAGAGAGAGAGAGGAACACACAGAGGGAGAGAGAGCATTGAAAATTATGTCAGTGGAATCAAAACATATATCCTAAAAAGTTGTTTCAAAATGAAAAGCATTGTAACAAATTGCATATATATTCGTTGATTTTCACATTCCATAACATCGTGTCTTTGTAATCACACGAGCCCTTACTGGATGTACTTTATGCTATGGAGTACAGAGAATTTCGATATCGTCTCCATATAATGCTCAATATTTCATAAAGTCAAACAAAAAGGTCGAAACTGCCGCTCTCTTATCATATTCTTGATCCCGGTATTTAAATGGTTTTGTTGGGTATAAACTATCATTTATTAATTTGTTGAAGCAGACGAGGTTTTTTATGAGGTATCCATTTAGAACGCAGATAGATAATTTTTCTGTCTATAATGAATGAAAGCCTTTATTGATTAGGACGCTAACTGAGTATATATTTTGTTTAAAACAAAACATTTTATTTTGAAATACCTTAGTTAATGAAGCATCGACAATTTCTCGGCATCTTTCTTTTTGGTTCATTGTGATCTTCCTTTTTACCCTGAACACAGATGCGTATCGTGTTTCTTTGTTTTCGTCGAAACAATAATTATCAGAGGTAAAATACACATTACCGGAAATCGTAATTAATTCTTTATAATCACCGTCCCTGTGAATCGTTTCTGTTTCCGTGATGCCATGTTTCACTTTAATCATAGATCTGATATGTTCAATATGACAAACAAAAGGATTTGACCTGAGGCCGCGCGTGTATCCGTCATATCAAAGATTGCCGACCTCTACCTAATAAAGTGATTAAAGTTAACTTAGATTTTTAGAAATTAAAGTCAAAAGAGATCAATAACAAACTCAGGAAACACGAAGTTATTGATCAATATGGGGGATCCGTTTTATCAGACCAGTACACTTTCATTAAAGGGACGCTATTTTTCATTGTTTGTAAAAATGGCCACCATGTCTCTTTATAATTTCAGCTTCACGCCGCTCGTTCAGAGGTCACGACCCCAGACGTCACTTCCGCCACATCACCAGTCCTTCGCAGCGTCCCCTAGGATCCGGTCTGCTGTTGTAACGATGCCGAGATCTCACGTGAGTATCGCGAGATTCTATGATTGGTCAGAAGATTTGGGAGAATGTGTGTCCGTATCCAAGTTTTATAGAGACCTGGCCGTGGCGTCACAAAAACACGATAAAGTCAAATCCAGAAACAAATGCTGCTCTAAAGGCGCTCATATGAACCCAGGGCGTATGTTTCTCCGCGATAAGGCGGGGCTAACGAAGGGAGAAAGGGAGATAATTGAGGGGATTTATAGAAACCGGGGCGACCTTCCAAAGGAATCGGAAAATTTTAAATCTTACAATTTTAAGGATGAATGGGACTTTGTCAGAAGTCATAAAGACGCTTGGATGATTGGAAAACAGCTACAAAGACAAGATCTGAAATGTGATCCGAGTTTACATCTTAAACTTCCGGAATATTTATTCAGTCGAATGAGTGAAAATAAATCAAACTCATCCGGAGAGTTGTGTAAGATTTGTGATGCCAATCTTTCAAATGACGCAGATTTTGATGAAAATAGAACCTGTTTTCATTGGAAGTCGAACTATCCGACAGCGCCACCTACAACACCGGATACAGACCGACGGGAATTTGATTTTCCGGAACAAACGCAAATAAAAAAGAAATCCATCCAAAGATTCAGATACGAACAAGAGAAGCAATCTGAAGATCAGAGGTCTCGTGTTGTTAAAAGTCTGGACGAATCATTGCTCAATGCTAGATCACGTGACAAATCAGACAAAAAGAAATTATTCGTCAACGTGTTCCTTCCCAGAATTCCGTCGGATGCTACTACGCATGACTACCCATGGATTGTGGATAGCAGGACAAGTAGTTTCTTGACAGATTATAGTCGCAATGGCACGACTCCAAGAGTTTGTAAGACTAAGAACGATTCGATATCTTATGTGAATTCATTCTCTGTTGCTCGCAACCAAAACCAGACTTCCAAATCGCAACATTTGACCTCAAATAGCACTGGGTATGAATGAGTCTGTCACTTTATGTTAATTTATTATGTCATTTATTTTATTATTTGAATTATTCGAATGCTTTTTAACTTGCCAATCTGTTGAAATTTCATTGATGTATATTGATTATTTTAAAGCTCTAATAGCGGAAAGCTATGTGGATATTTTTCAGTAAACGCAATGCATCCGCTGTAATTTCATTAAATTTTAAAACTGAAAATCATTCCTACTACGAGGGTTGATCCAAACGTAATGTCACAACTTGGATAAAATTGCTACAAATCGACGTAAAACAACGATATTACACATGATGAAAGCTTAATTTATTTCAAATCAGACCTGAGAAATTCAAAGGAATATGATTTATACTTTCCAAAATATTGGATTTTAAACAATGTGCGTATATGGTAGTCGCCGCACCTAACTATAACGTCAAATGACGGATATGCGCCTTCATGTTTTTAAGCGTTTCCTCTTCGTTTCATTAAAAAATATTTGTGAATCGCAGACACTTTCACCAATTTCACTTTCTTTAAGAATTCTTGGTACCATTATACACTCATTCTTTTCATAATTTAGCCCTCTGTCAAAATTATTTGAGCAGTAGCATAAGACAAACTTTAAAATTCACATGTCACCTTATCCGTCTGTCTTTTTTGACTACGTCAGACACCATTGAACGTTTCCGTCCGATCTCCTATCTTTCGGTCTCCTTGTCCTCTACTGATCAGTCAGTGACCAATCACCCGCCCAAAATTGCTGAAACTATCTATAAAGAAGTCTCTTTTAGTTACATTCTTTATTCTGTGAGTCTGATTAATTAACGTAATTGTCTCTAGTGATGATTCCCATATTTTGAAGCAAAAATGAATTACAATTCGTCGAGCTGTTTTTTTTTTCTTCTCATTACGAAATTCCTTTGTTCAATGCAACAGAGTAAAACGACAATGTTTATGATCAGTTGATGACAAATACCAATGCCGTCATTAAATTTCCAATTAAAGACTAGAAAATGGTGTAAATTGTATCTTTTAAAAAATGGGAGATTAGGTGGTTTTTTAGAATCTTTTTAGTGTTTGTCTTTTTCTTTCTAAGAAAAAAGTACACTTTAAAACGTGACGTTTTAAAAATAGATTAGGATATTTAAGACCTGTACATTAAGTCACCTGTAACCGTACATTAAGTTGACAAAACTCTCAGTTCTTCACTTAATCGACAGCGTTTTGTCAACTTAATGTACAATTAAAGGTAACTTAATGTACAGGTTTTAAATGTTGAAAACAATACATAATTAAATAGGCAATTAATTTTAATTTAATGCACAATCATGCATAAATATCAAACAATTGTATATGAAACGTTCAACAGTATATCATCTTTGGAAATGACAAATCCAATGCAAAAAAGACACACGTGTAAATCCTGTTTCTTAATAACTCTAGAACATCCACATCCAGAAGTTTCTTTATTAAAAAACAAACGTCTCATTCTCTTCACAAAATTTGTAAATGAACACTGGACGTGATAGATCCATTCCATGAATGTTTAAAATATATTCAACAGCAATTTCAATTTTAAAAGAAAAAGGATTATTTCCAGATGAAATGATAACCTCACTAGATGCACTGCAGGTGGAATCATTTTTGGGACAGAGATCACAAATTTTATCTTTTCATACACTTGCCATCATCTGAATCCCTCATATTTCCATGAATTATTCCATTTACTCTCTGCTGCTATTTATTGTTGGTTCAATTGTAGGATCAAACTGTAATAGATTTGTGGCCCGTTTTTTTCTGTTATAAACTGTTTCCTCAAATTTCATACAAGGTGAAGAATGTTTCGTATCACAGTGTCCCTTAAATCCTGATTGTTGAAAACGATAAATCTTTAGCTTTTGTCAAAACTTGAACACCAACTTCAGAATCTGCAAACCTACAAGCTCCTGCTTGTGTCTACCTACTGTAGAGTATTTACCACCCTTTGGCCCGTATTTTAGAGAATTATGTATTACTTTCTCCATCCGATGAGGACATCTTCACTCATGAAGCTTTACATGGGAAGTGGTCAGAAATCAAGTGAGCTAACATTTGAATCTAAATTTACCTGGCACTGTCCATTAAGTTAGACAATACAGCTATTGTTTTCATCCCTCACTCTCTGGACAATCAAGTGTGTTACGTAATCATAGGAAATACATCACCATCACCTGGGACAGTTTATTTAAGTTAACAATAGAGAAAATGTTTTAAGTAGGATAAAGTCCTCAAACTGTCCATTCTGTGAGAGAAAAAACTATTCTCGGCCCTTCGGGCCTCGAACAGTTCTTTCTCTCACAGAATGGACAGTTTTCGGACTTTCTCCTTTACTTAAAAACCAATTTCATTAATTAAAACCTATTAGTAGATATAAAAGAAATTGTATACCTAAGAATTATTCGTATTTTCCAGTGTTGTACTATCAAAGAGAAACAACTCTGGCTTTATCAATTCTCTGAAGGAGTCCATTAGTAACTACCTTCATACGAATTTCAAAGAGAAAAAAAAATCTGTACACAAATATGTACACAATGTTTATGTAGTTTGTAAATATTACTGTGGTGCATCCTACCTTTAAAACACGCAATCTAGTGCTCCTTTTAAACATCTTAACTGATGTACATCTTAAGTGATGTTTTCCTTGGGCCGACGTCATGTTATGTAGGTCTACTAATAATATATAATAAATAACTTAAAGAAAAAAAACATTTCAAGAATGCTATAAACTGTTTAGACCTGTATACATGCAGGTCAAATGATTTTAAATTTTCTACAATTAATTTACTGATATAAGAAAGAAGTACACCGTATTTTTTGTTTATTTACATTTAAGCAAATGATATGGAATTCAAGAAATATTAAGGCTCTAAACCTTCAGTTTAAAAATGTTCTAGAGCAGCGTTTCATAGGAAATAAAAGTATGAAGGATATGGAGATAATGTACAGTATTCAATATCAAAGTCCCTAAAACAATACAAAATTGGAGCAGAGCAAACACGGACCTATAAAACATCAGAGGTGAGATCAGGTGCCATGGAGGAGTAAGCATCCCCCGCCGACCGGCCACAACCGCCATCCTCCTTGTCTTGATCTGGAAATAACGGGAAAATCCGTCGTCAAATCAGTGTACAAATAATGTACTAACAATTAGTTTGAAAAACGTCAGTAAGCATTTGACTCAATGATAAATTGTATTTGCTGACAAGGTCATTGTATCGACCATAGAAATAAGGATATGGAGATTACGAACAGTATTCCATATCAAACTCCATAGAACAATACAAGAGAGGAGCAGTGCAAACACGGACCTCCAAACCATCGAAGGTGGGATCTGGCCTTGGGGCCATAAAACTGAGATGATCTCACTTTTTATCTCAGTCTCACGTTTCCACTATATATTCCTTAGGAAAAAGTGAGACTGAGATCAAAAGTGAGCTCGTCTAAGTTTTATGGCCCCCAGGCCAGGTGCCATGGAGGAGTGAGCATCCCCTGCCGACCGGTCACACCCGCCGTGTGCTCTTTGTCATGATCGTGAAATAACGGAAAAATCCGTCGTAAATTCAGTGTATAAATAATGGACTAACAATTGGTATGAAAAACGTCATTCAGCATTTGACTCAATGATAAATTGTGTTTGCTGCCAAGGTCATTGTATCTACCAAAGAACTTACGAAACGATGACTTTAGACGAGACTGCTGATATTCTTGTTTCATCAACTTGTCTGTCAAAAACTTACCTCGTTTTAGAAACTGTTCATGAACATGCTCTTGCGTATCGAATCAACAGAGATAGGTATATAAACACCGTATGCAGGTGATGAAGGTATACTGCTGCATAAGTAAGGGAAAGTTGAAGTGATCACGTTTATCACAGAGCTTGGTTCTTAGATTACCTTTAATGTCTTTATCAAGTAAAATATCCAAGTATGAAACAGATGTGTCAGACTCTGTGGTATCTTTTATCTCAAGCTCAGCAGGATATATCGTATCGACGTATGAATGGAAATTATAAGATTATTTTATATTTTATAAGAAGATTATTTTATAATTTTCATTGGCTGAAAGGACGTCACGTGATATTCCTCCTTTTGCGATATCGACGCGAAAGCACGTCCGTAGAAAATGATATCCCACAACACACGTTCGGTTGCACTAAAGTTACGTAGCTCGGTCGCTATCACTTTATGTATCTTCGGTCAATATCAATTGCCATGAATCCTTATAACCACATATCGACCTACACTGAAGTCCATAATTGTATAATACAGTGGCGGCAACGTTATTATTGACAACTTACACGAACAATCACGTTACACGAACGATTCCTCACGATTAACGCACGATTAAACCTTGTTAATTGACAATACGTCGTCGATATATCTAAATGTCGAGTTGAAGTCCACAGCAAGTGTTTTCTTCTTTTCACGTATAAGATTTTGCACAAATTCTGCTTCATATGAATATGAAAATTGGTCTGCTAATAACGGAGCGCAGTTGGTACCCATGGGAATTCCAATAGATTGGTCGAAGACCTGGTCTCAAAAACCACATAGAAATTGTCAATCAGAAACTCAAGCATCTCTTTGATGTCAACTTCAGAGTACTTGTGTGTTCAATCGGAATGTGTTTTAACAAAATAATTTTGCAAATGACCAATGACCAGGTAAGTAAATTTACGGGTTCCATTTTTATTGAAAAAGCAGCTGTCAATGATATCAAAAAGCATGGACTTTAATTTACGGTGGGCAATTGTTGTGTATAAAGTTGAAAAGTCCTAAGATTTTGGTAAAATCTTGTGATTTCAATTTGACCAATTGTTCTTTGGAAGTTTTGAGTATCCACATCTGATTAACTCCATTTCTTGAATATATTGATGCACAGTACTCTTGAAGTTTTTCAAAGTATTTACTACAGTTACCTATAGTATACTTTAGTAAATCTAAATTTTAGTAAATATTTGATAGAGTGACAGCGAATGCAAGGGCCACGGTATTTCTTCCATAATAATTTTGAAACGTGTTTTATTTACCAGAAATAGTTTTCTGTTTGTTTAAAACTATATTTATCAGGAAAATATTGAAAAGCGTTTTTCCTCCCAAAAAATGTAAATAATCGTCTTTTTTTTCTTAAAACGAAAATCAACATTATTTGTCAGACCATGGAAAATATCAACAGATATTTTCCTCTAAAAGGGGAATTTTCTTCAATCTCCTTCTCAGTTTTTGCAGGAGAGATTACTACTGGTCAATGCAAGTGGACGAATCATACCCCAACAAACAGTGCATATTGACCAACATGACCAACAAGAACATTTCTAGTCATTATCATTGATACAGACATCTATCTGTGACAGTACAAGTTTATTTTGATAGGCACACTATGTCATTCTCAGGAGCACAAAAAGTAAGTGGAAATTGTAGCGAGTCGCAAATTTAGCGATCTGTCCTTAAAAATGGGTATTTAATTTTTTAGCGAGAAGTTATTTTAGCGATTTTAAAAAGCTCCCTAAATAGGCCATTTCAAATAAAATGCAAATAATTTTTTGCGATATTCAATTTTAGCGATCTCAGCACCCTCGCTAATAATGCCAAAATTAAATCCTCGCTAAACATTCTGCTTATACGGTATTAAGATTTACATATAGTGTACATACATCTAAGTCCGTGAAGAAAAAGTAAGATTTAAATCCAGGTGACTTATAGGCCCAAAGGGCCGGGTGTAAAGTATTTGTCTTTTTTTTTTATAGTTTAGATAAACTATCTCATGATCTTTTACACACGTCACTATAATAAATAAATTATTATTATAACTGAATATGAGTTCTTACGAGTTTAAAAAGGCAGTAAATTATCAATGAAAGGGAAAAGGACGTCATAGTTTTGTCTCAAATTTACAGAGAGACGTTTATTCTGCCTTGTCTACTATTAAATTGAACAAAAGTTCAACGTAGTTTTGACCTCCTGACAATATTTGTCCGTTAGACTTTGGCATTTAACGGATTAACTTTACAATTTCTTTTTATTCGTTTACTTGTGTCCAGTGTGGTTTAAATAATTTCTTGTTATGGGTGAATGATCAACCATGCTGATTTTAATTTAACCATATGTGTGTGTCCCTAGTCCGTTATTTAAATTTAAGTAGAAAGTTTTGTGCATTATTTACAATCATTTCTGTATGGTCAGGGGAGACGTCTTACTCGGTAAGTAATTCAACTGTATTTCAATAGTAGTTCAACTGTAGCTCAACAATAATTAAATGTCTTTGACTAATTATTTTAATGTTTTTCACATCTCCTTACTCCCTACTACGCAATGTCTTCTAATTATAAATGGATTATTTTTAAAATTATTTTCAAGAATTATGTTGTCAGTTTGATCATCTTTAACAATTTGTTCATTTATATCATTAAAGTATTCAATGTATAATGAAGGGATTTTGAACAATTTTAAATAATTTTAAACCAATTAAAAACACATTGCCAGTAACGATAAAAGTGACATATGAACCAAATTCACAAGACTGATAAGATGTAATTAGGAGAAGGTCATTTTGAATATTTAAAGTTTTTGAAGAGTTATCTGCGCTTGATGAAAAGAAGAAAAATTTTGATTTCTCAAAATTTCTGCGGTAAATAATTCACTTATTTCATTGTTTAATAAAGAGGAAGTTTATGCATATATTAACCAAGGGATTTGTTTAACATTCAAATTGCTTTTTACAATTGCAATATCTTATAAAAACATGCGCTGACCGTAGATTTCAATCTAAAATTCTACTTGAAATTAATTTGACAATAACAAATTTTTTAAAATTCCTTTTGGTGGAGCATTTTCATTTGATGACATCTTCAATATACTACCATGATTAAAAACATCGGACTATTCATTTACTAGGTACAAAATATGGTCGTTATACATTAAATACCTTAAATAACTTTCTAAGTGGTAATTCATTTTTTAGCGACGGATTAAAAATACTAATTAAATTGATTGATTGATTGATTGATCAGGGGAGGCACATTTTCTACGGAAATTATTTTAATTACGTAGAGTATCTTGAAAATTTCCCTGAGAGTTTTTAAATGGTAGGCAATGGATAGCTGAACGATCGCTGTACTTTTTCTAGGCATGCGCATGCTTGGTTCTGATAGAACCAATTACCCCTTTTAAGAAATCAGAAGTAGGGCGTACAACGGATCACGGGATGTTTACTCGTTAATGAAACCTGATTCTTTTCCAAATTTGTATTGTTTTCTGAAATTTTGATATTGTTATCGTCACATTTTATTATATCAGCGTGTATTCCTTATGATCTAGACTCTCTCAATCATGGATTCGAAAGGATTCAGTGCTCAGTGTCAAGTAAAGGAATGTTTTCAATGTCAGGGGGACACAGAATACTACTGTAAAGCATGTAAACATGACCTGTGTCTACAGTGTAAAGAGAAACATGTTTTTTGTTTAGAAACCATTTACCATGATGTTGTGGTTTTCTGTGAGAAATATGAAAATCTAACAAAGCAACAAATCTGTGTGAGACACCCAGGCAGAACCTATGAAAAATACTGTTACTCGTGTGAACTTCCTGTCTGTGTTAAATGTACAGAACACAGAAATAAAAACATACCTCTAGTTTGTTTCAAATGTACAGAACAGAGAAAACATGAAATATGGGACATAGGAACTGCTTATAAAACAAACCGCAAACATCACAAAGAAATCATTCATAACATTAGAAGTTTGACTATCTTTAACAGCTGTTTTATCCTATCAGGAATTAGAAATGATATAAACACTTGTCACAAAGAGCACAACAAATATCAATCAGAGATGCTACGAAAATCCCAAAGACTAGAAATTCTTATTGATTCAGTTGTATGGGATGTTAAAACCACTCATAAGAGTTTAAATCAGAGATTACATTATCAAATTAGAAAAATGAAAAGACACCTTGCCAGCGTAGAACAATATGAACATAAATCAGAAGAGCTAGAAAACAGACCCATCAGATTTATTTTATTTATAAAGAAAACACGTGTCCTCAAGATGAACACCCCTAATCTGAAAAGTCCCTCCCTGCTCTCCCCGACCGACGAAATCAACATGGAGGATGTCATTAAGTTATTGACAGAAATCGAGATCATAGAGAGAGGAAAAAGACAAGTAAAAACCGAATGTTTATTGAAACTGATGACTACACCCGTGTTTTACACAACCGTCAAACTAACAGGTGTAAGTCGTGTCAGACACATTTCCTGTGTGACGTCAGAACAGGTTTGGATCACTGATGGCATTCTGACAAACATAGCAGGAGACACAATGTATCAACTAACAGATATAGCTTCGTATATATGGAATTATGGAGCACACACCGTGAACGGTACAGGTGAGATTATTTATATAGACAGGGATTGTAACATTTGTAAATTATCTACAGATTTCAGAACAAAGTCTACATTTATAAAGAAAACTGAAGAATTGGAACCACACTGTGTTTACTGCTCTCCCTACAATGAAGATCTTCTGGTCGTGATGTATAATACTAATACAAAGACAGCCTTTGTTTACCGTTACAATGGTACAGGGGAACACATACAGACGATACAACACACCAGCAAAGGTCAGAGGATGTATAGACTACCTAATTACATCACAGAGAACCGCAATGGAGACATCGTTGTGTCTGACTATGATCGCGCTGTAGTGGTGACAGATCGTGGAGGGAGGCATCGCTTCTCCTACACTGGTCCACCATCTGGATCGGGACTACGACCACGTGGCATCTGTACAGACGCACTATTGAATATCCTTGTGTGTGATGTGAACACCCACACCGTACAAATGATAGACAAGGACGGCTATTTTCTATCACATATACTTACACCCCAACACGGGATAAACAGACCACAGGGACTTTATTATGACGTCAAAAGTCATCTTCTCTGGGTGGGATCATGGAACAAAGTATTTACCTGTAGATACATAGAGAGAAATCATTATAAGTAAGATAATTAAAAGCATGGGCACATTTCAGATGACAGGAATATCACTAATAGATAGATTATGTAATGTCAGACGACACGTTCCTCAAAAATATAATTTTTCGCTGGAATTTGTCATTAATGTATGGGTACTTAAAAGAGCTTCCTCACAAAAAAAATTGGAGGCACCTTACCAGGCATTGGATAAGATACCAGAGGATGACATTTCTTATATAATCCTTATCGGTAATCTTCTGAATGGTCACTTTCACAATTTTTGTTGGACTCATATTTTAATCATACTAGAAACAATGTGGAAACCACAACAGAAAGCAAATTATGAATATTTTTTTATATATAATATTAGAAAATACAAAACATATATTCAAAGAACGTTTCGTCTGACCTTAAAACGTGGATACATGTCCAGTGACAGAATTATATAACGGGAAATGTGTTTAGTAACAAATAAAGTGATACAGTATATCAGCTATATTTTTTGTATAATTTGTTACTAGAGTGGCTATTTTCGGTATAGAGGAAAACCCCTCATTGAATGCCCATGCCATTTGAAAATTTCTTAAACAAAATCTAGTGTGTAATTTCTGTACTCCTTTTTCCTATCTCTGATGTATATGAACCATATCAAAAACAATTTATTAGATCTCCGTGCGCCGGTTACGCATTTGGCGCAGTCATTTTCATCAAACTCAACTCCAACAACACTTTGAAAATCATGACACCAATCATCTGTTTCTAATGCTATTTGTATAAAATTTTGACATTATTATTATAGTAATAGATTTTAATTATGGTTTTAGTTCAATGTCTTACGTATTACTAAAGAAATAAAAGCGAATGTAATAGTTATATAGGTAAATTATTCCAAATTTTGATCGTCCGCCGACAGACCATATCGGCCTTCATATAAATCGTCCTTATATTATTAATATGAAAGATATATATCTAAGAATCAACCATTTCAAAGAACATTGAATATTTTATGGAAGTTCAAAATTTGGTTAGTATTTGTTGCATGTTTGAATAGTTATAAACATTGTCTACGACTTTTTGGGACAGCCTTCATATATGAAAAGACTACCTTACATTTTATTGGTATTAATTAATCTGATAAATGAATATATGATACATACACAAAGAATTCTAACAGGTGCATTTGTACAATTTAAAAGATACATGTTCTCATATCAAGACACTTAATTATTACAAGATTAAAATTTTATTAAACAATATTTAACATAAAAAATGTTTCTTAATACAGGTAAAGTAAGGACAAAAGTGTAAGATTGTGCATCTAAAATTTTAATGTTTTGCCACATAATTCTCAAACCTCTGTGATTATGGTTGATATTTCTATATTTTAAAAATGTAGAGGACATCTTCTTTACTTTTAATATGTGTTTTTGTGTCAGATTTAAAAAAGAAAGATTTTATATCGTAAAGTTGATTTCCTGAAATCAAACTTTATTCAAATATCAACTCATAGTAATAAATACTTTCCATCAACACGAGAATTAAATGATTAAATTTTGTGTATTGTTTGAAAACAATGTTATCACCAGTTTGATAAAATATCATGAGTTTGTAATGTCGTGTAGCATTTACAGCGTGTGAAATAGCAGTGGTTGGTGCATTACATTTTTTTTTACTTTAAATAGCATTATCAGCGATGTTTATGTTTATTTCCAGGTTTTGGGATTATATAATTTGAAAAGATAACATAAAATTTATTCATAGTCGGGAACATCAACAAAAAATATTTTCCTAGTACATGATAATGTTACATAATATTCAACAATAATAATAAACAAGTAATAGTATTTAAAAATTACATCGCACTACTGAAATATAAATATTACTCCGTGATGCTTGACATTAACATATGACATAATTATTTAAGCACATTAAAACTGACAAGCTGAAAATGAAATAAACACTGTTATATAGTATCTAAAAATAATAATAATCAGCTAGCGAAACAATTACAAATATTTCCGTACCAACTACTTTCATTTGATTTCATTTGGTTAAAATTTATAATATTTTTTAACGGATTCTGGTAAAGAATTCAAAAGTTTGGCGGACTCATATCTAAAAAACTTCAATCCATTCGTTGTTGATCTTGTTATGGTAAAACAGCACTTCCCTTGTTTCTAAAAGAACAAGGTGTTTCTTTAATATGGATAAACAAGTTGAAAAGTTTGATGAATAAGACCGCTAAGATTTTTAAATGCTTTAGTGTTCATCTTATGATTGATTGAATATTGTTTAACGTCCCTCTCGAGAATTTTTCACTCATATGGAGACGTCACCTTCTGCCGGTTAAGGGCTTCAAATTTAGACCTATACTCGGCATTCAGGGTCATTCAGTAGTGGGTGTTCTTTATCGTGCCAGCGCCTACCGTAACACGGGACCTCCGTTTTTAAGGTCATATCCGAAAGACCCATGACTTTTACTTCTGATGCAGAGCGCTTGGCGAAGGAACAGTCACTACCTATTTTATTTCTACGAATTAGGCTTGACGCGAGAATCGAACCCGGGCCTCCCGATCACGAAGCGAACGCCCTACCACTAGGCTACCGTGAACGGTGTTCATCTTACGAAAATGTGCCAGAATGTTACCGTGCATTTGGGAACAGATGACTGACAAGATCCGGGATGAAATTGGAAATTTGACAGCCAATGTAATGATGGGACTGAGAAAAATTCACGAATCGCCGTACGCACTGTCATACTTTAACGAGCAAGGGCTTGCTACTAAGGCATTTCTCGACAGTAAAGACCCCAGCGGTGTCAATATAAGTAAGCAGGGAAAGAGTAGAAAAAAAAACGATACAACTCTGCAGATGATCATGCTCGACTGCAAAGCATCTAGCAAAGGAAGATAAGTTCAAATAGATTCGATTGAAAAATGCAAATAGCTTCCTGCGATTAACATCGTCCATGGAGAGATAGATTTGAGTACCTAAGTCCCGTAAAATTTGAAATATTGGATATAAAAATGAATTTTCTGAAAATGGCATTTCAAATTTTATACAAAGAGGACGGTATCAGTGACAGGGGAACATAGAGTCATTTGAAAAATATTATTTCAAGAACAAACGCACACTATGATGCAGAAAAGGACTTTTTTGTCTCTGTTGTTGATACGTATATTGTAGAATGTGTTCTTGAGTATTCTAGAATGTCAGATGTAAATTTCACTTCTTCGTAACACAATCCACCCGAATTAGCCGACGACGAAATGAAAAGGTGTTGGTTTTTAAATGAACAAGAAAGAATGTTTCAAAACGAAATAAAACAAGGAATAGGGGTCAACAGGACGTTGAGGGTATGTAAAATATCTTTATTTACACTAAACATCAATATATAAATTCAAACATAATCAATTCAAAGAATTACTTAGGCAATCCCTTTCAATTAATAATTATCGTTTTTTTAGTAGAAGGAGAAGTGCAGTTGATTTATATCAAGTAAGAAATTGTAAAGAATAAAATTATTGGTCTTTAAATAAAAAAAAAACCTCATGGAAATTCAAGAATCGACAAATTACAAAAGTATTGAAAACTGGAGCAAAGCTCGTTGCAAAGCAACGAGTAGGTCTTCCGTCCTGTTTGACCGAGAGTAGCTTTCATTTTTCACAAGAATGAGAAAAGACGCCCAAAAATGCTTTGAATCATCTAAAGCTATGTAAATTAATGCAAAAATAGGCCATTTTTGCTACTTCCGGTTTGACCGGAAGTGACGACGACGAACGGAAAATTAATTTTTAAGTTCCCAGAGACATATGTTACCCAAAAACTTGTCAAAAACGGCAAAATACACGTTTCCCGACTACTTCCGGTTTGGCCGGAAGTGACGACGCTTGACGTATTTTGACGACTCCATTAGATTAAGTTTGACATTTTCAACAACTTTGCTTCTTTGATGTATAACAAATTCTCAAAACTTTTTTAGATATCTGGAAAAAAAACGTTTGGCCCCTCTACATCCTTTAATTTGAAAGATCTGATTCTACAAAAATTATGTTCTATATATTTTAAGAATATAAAAGCAAAATATGAGTAATTTTTGGCTCTTTTAAGCGTTCGAATTTTTGACCCCTATATAGCGCCAATTTGAATAGAGAAATCAAAAACAAAAACCGATCTGCACAACTTCAGTCCTTCTATTATCTAAAATCAGTAGAATTTCTGCTCCAGCTTTAGCCGTCTCTGAGTCTTTTTCAGGAAATGAAAGCCTATAAATTTTCGTTTAAAGGGAAGTAACTCAAAACCGGAAGTGACTTTTTTGAAATTTTAGAGTAGTCTTGAAAAATTATCTTGATATCTGTAAAATGACAAATAAAGATCGCGGTCTCTTTCATCTAAGAAATACTTATCTCATATTAAAAAGTAACAAAAACAATCTATCCAAATATGAAAAGAAAACATGATATTATTTTTTTCATCTGTTGAGTCACGTTTTGTTCGCCATCACATTATGTTCGCCGTCACGAAATGTCCGCCTCTTTTCGGGAAAATTGTTACACTTTCTCCACCGCTACAAAATGTCCACCTTTCTTCCGAAAAAAAGTAATTTTATGTCCGTCGCCAAGAAATGCTCGCCTCCCCCTCCCAAAAAAATCACATAATGTCCTCCGTCACGAAGTGTCCGCCGATCATCCGAAAATATCGTCACATTATTTTCGCAACTAGAAAATGTCCGTCCAATATTGAAAATAGTGTTTTATTTTTTCCATTCTGTGAATCTTTAACCAAGCTTGCTATAATTTATATGCTAGAAATGATTTCAGTGAACTACATTATTTTCCATCAATTAATGGAGATTTGCTTTATTTCTCTTGATTATTAAGAGTACTTGAGAATTCAATGACATTTTGTCAGAAATAGTTAACGCTTTGTTTTTTCCACAGTCTTTAAATGTGAGAATAAAGAAATCATAATTGTTACCGACAGCCAGGAGGCGGTTGTTCATTTGATATTAAGATTTTACGTATCTTGATGTTCTGCGAAGTTTGAAAAATAAAAATAATAGTATGATATATCCTATCAGACAAGGCTGCAAATGAAGAGTTTCATTGCTTATATTTCAACAACACAGGAAAACTAAACGGATATATTCCTGCAGATAAAAGAATGGTGGACCGTATTATCTTACGAAGTTATTTAAACGGGGTGCTAATTTTGGTTTTAATTGGCGTTGATTTTGGCGTTAAGATGATAGTTTAGATGATAGTCTGTTACAATTTTGATCGCTGAAATAGTCAGTACTCTTATTAATGTCCAACTGCAAATTAGCCAAAACCTTGCGTACGCAAAATTTTACGGCCGAAAGAAAACCTGCTATACGGTATTTGGTCGAACAAGTAAAGGAACATATAAAACATGTTTTTTAACAAAACAGAAAGAAATCTTAGGAACAGGTCTAGTGCCATAACAAGCATCAAAGAAATTGCTGGGCATTTTGATGAAATCTCAAGTATTGTCAAAAATCAAAACGACATTCCGACAAACTAGCTATTGGTGACGAACTGGCAATTAAAAACCTTTTTTGTTTGAAGAAGGCTGCTTACACGAATGGTTCTCCGATATCCAGGCTTCATCATCTACAAATATTAATGTGACCAACTACCACCATTGTATCAAAATTAAAAAGGTCGAGTTTTCTAATGAATATGGAAATAAATTAGGTTTCAGTATGTTCTCTTTGATTTCATATATGTTGCTCATTAAATGAGACTAAACTTCTGCTTTACACATTTTTTATTAACAAAATTTTCAAAAGATTTTACAAGATCTGTTAACAAGAAATAAGAGAGACCTTTTAAATCTGTGTAAGGTATTTGCAATTGACTGTTTTCAGCATTCAAATACGAATTTAGAACTTGAAAAAGTACTCGTAATTTAGATTGATTAGTTTTTCGACTTGACGCAATCAACTCCATTGCTATGCCCTTTTTATTTCATTAGCAATGGCTACGATACATACTGTTGCTCAAAAACATTGCATCATGTATGCAATGTCATATTTTGTTCACAGGAAAATCCAAAGTAACCAGTGAGAAATATTCACCTGCATGTTTTAGCGTGCTAAACTGTTTCTGTCATATTTTTGACGTCACTTGCATTATAAAAGAAAGTTGCGTTGCACTGGGCCCCATCTCACTCGCCTCTTCATATTTTCTGCAAATATGCCAAAGAATCATATTGATGAATAAGAAATTTGTAATTTAATGAATTATTTGTTTTATACATGTCTGCTCTTCATCTAGCTGAATAATATATTAATATACATTTATGTTTTGAAGATCAACATACTTTTCAGTGATGATTGGGGCCATAATGTTTGATTCGCGCGAACATTTGGTAAATCTATTCGACATGCCTCCGAAGCAAATAAAAGTTTCAATTGGGTCGCACATTCTGTGAACTGTCTTCTCCTTTATCTTGAAATGATTGGAAAATCATGTCTATTAAAAATGCTAAACTGATTTTTAGTATGTTATTTTTAAATTACGTTGAAACATACCTAGTTCTAAAATACCTTAGTGATGCTTGGTGCTTGGTATTGTGAAACTGCATTCATCATTCCTATCCTTAACTCTTTACAACTTACTGAATTTTTATGAATATGAAAGTTTCTCTAAAGCTTAGCGTAAAAATATTATGATGTAATATTTTGATGAGAAAATTACTTTCCTTATTTTATGAGTTTAAAGCAAGTATAAAATAGAAGGAACTTTGCAATAAATTGAAGATAAAATGAACGTTTTAAAGCGCATGAAAATGCGTGATTCCGAGGAAACGGTATATGCGTGATTTTGCGTTAGAAATAGGAAATAGTATATGCGTTAAAATGCGTGACTGCGGGGAAGGGGGTTAAATTCGTCAAATGCTGCTTTAAATCCATATTCTGCATCCAGATGTAAAAATCCTTACACAATTCTGTGTACTTCACCTGATGTATATTGCAAACGTTCAAACGTTCTTCGTAAGAGTCTGTACTTGAACAAATTCTTGTGTTGAACTGTTATCAGAATCTTATGTCCATCGGCTTTTTTAGCAAAAGTTTGTATTATCTTGTTGAGTGTCCGTGCAACAGTCAATATACCATGGTCGTTGTCACAACTGACCTCATGTTGTGATGGATTATTTAAATCAGAATTTACAAACCAAAACAAATAATATTTTGTAAGACCTCATGTGTACCAAGAAACAACAAATTTATTTAAAAAAATAATAATTTTTGCTACATATGTATAATGAACAAAATACGGCTGAAAGTTCAGTCATAATTGTCACGGACCAGTTTCACACTACGTCGCTACATCGTCTAGTGTCCACCATATTGTCCCTCCTGGTCCACCGTATTTCTAAATTTAGGCAGTCTTCACGTACATCCTCCCATTCAAAACAAAAGCTTTATATACAATTAGGTCACTACAATTTTCATAGGGTATTCTAATAAAATATTCAAAACACAAATCTGTTCAAACTACTAGATTTTACAAACAAATTACAAAAGAAAACACATATTCGCCTTTTAACAAGTAAATGAATTAGAACATTAATATATACATTCTGGCTATATTGCTAACAGTTTTACACAGAATATTGCTCTATAAAGCTAACAACAAAAATATTGTTAAGTGTAAAAACTTACTGAGCTGTGGCATTTTATACAACATAGTTATACTGCCGTCCCCAAGGTCTTGCTCTCAACACCGCTACAAACATTGATCCTGGATCCCAAGATCACTCAGCAAGGGAAACAGAACACACTAAAGTTCACACAGGATGGGTTTAATAATAGTCACACGCCAATGATCACTAAGCATGGGTAAACTACTCCCAGCGTTCAGACCTCATCTGATAAACACTAGCCAACACCAAACGAAATAACTGACAAAACTAATCAAACGGGTTCGACGAGTATACGTTGATACATGTAAAAATAGCAACTCAGTGATCAACTGTGCGTGAATGAAATAAACGATAACTTCTAACACTTAAATAAAGGCAACTCTTATCAATATCTGTACAATAAGCTAATAATAGGGAGAGGGCTAAAATAGGCTTTGCCTGCTGCCCATGTGAATAAAATTTTGTATAAATAAAAAGAAAAAAATAAGCTTATATCAAACATAGACACACTGTCTCTTATGACAGCCGCTATTGATCGATATTTGTATTGGTACAGTAGAACATGATTGACTAGACACATTATGTGGTACAAGGTTATCACTGACGTGAAGAGCTGGCGTCTGAGGTGGGGTAGGGATATATGTGATGTTTGTGTCCTGAGGTACGTTTCTTGGTAACGGTTCATGTAAAGTAAATGTTCACAATTCCTGTTCAGAAATGCACTTGTACGCTGAGGGACGTGTACATAGAGTACATTCTTTGGTTGACACGTATGTGCATGAGGAACATGCACATAAGGTGCACTCTGTGGTTGACAAATATTAGATGTTTTATGTGAATGTAGAGATGTTCTTCTGTCTTCCCATGGTGGTGAACACGGATTCAATGTTACATTAACAGTTTCTTTTGTTTCAGGTTTGTCACTTGCATGAAATTTATCTTTCAGGGGTTCTTCTAAGTCTAAATTCCGCAAAACACTTTCCTAAATGATTTTGGTTTTTGCATCAGTTATATTAATTTCTGTTTTGATTTCAAGTTCTTTATTCTTACGTTTCAGTTGTAGATAAGCTCCTTCTAATTCCATTTCTTTGGTAACGCTGTATATATAGGTCTACCCTTCTGTACTATAAAATCAACAAGGCCTGAAACCATCCGCAACATTGGATTTCGCCTAGGATCCTCTTACTGACTTACTTTCAGGTTTTCTAGGGTATATACTATGTTGTTCATCAACATCGGAAAATCTAATTTATTGAAATAAAATATTTTTTCAGCACCATTCTGCCACTTTCTCGCGTTTCCTAGCATTTTTCTTGTACTCTTGGTAGATCTATTTATACTAACTAGTATCATTCGTCATTTACAGACTTACATGGGTCGCGCCTGTATATGATTGAAAATGATATAAAACGACGGAGAAATATCATTGTTAAATCAACCACAAAAACAGTTAATTACAATAGCATTGCAAAAGGAGTAACAATAAAATGGTTTCCCGGCCTTTTGTTTTTTAATGACCTGATATATTTCTGATTTATCAGTAGTCGGTTTTACAACTACGATGGTACAGTTCTGATTTGAAAAACAACGCTTTTTTGAAAAATACACTTGTTTCTTTTTACAAAAATCGTAAGGTTAATCAGTGGCTATAGAAGCTTTGTCTCATTAACGTTGAAAGGTTTTTAGTTAGAGATTGTTTTCGCAATTATGCATTTTTTTCTCTCTATTTACATGTATCAAAAGAAAAATATGAGTAATAATGACTTTAATCTTATAAGTACTAATTCTCTTAGTTTTTATCAATCGTCTCTCTTTTCCTGAATCCGTAAACCCATATTCTGTCCTTATTTAATGATCCCACCCAAAGACGGTGAGATATGTCATCATAACTCACGCACCAGGGTATGTATATCTCTTGTTGATGTATGTCTATCAGGGACAGGAACTGGCCGTCCTTATCAATCATTTGTAATGTTCTTGTGTTCGTATCACACACAAGGATGTTTGAATGTACATCTGTACAGATTCCTCGAGGCCATAGTCCTGATCCCGAAGGAGGCCCTTTATAGGAGAAGCGATAATTTCCTCCACGATCCGTCACTACTACACCGTTATGAAAATCAGAAACAATAACATCTCCATTATGATTCTCCGTGATGTAAGTAGGAATTTTATACAGAATTTTGCCATCAGTGTTGCTTCGTTCTGTGATTTGTATGCATTGTCCTGTGTTATTATAACGTTTTACCTTGCCTGTTTTTATTATGAATTCCCACTAGTAGATCTTCATTGAAGAGGGAACAGAATACACACTGTGGTATCCATATACCATTATGTTTTACCAGTGTAGATAACTTTGTGTTATCAATACTTTGCTTTATTATGCTGAAATTCCCATCTATATAAATAAGTTCACGGGCTAGATTTACTGTGTGTATTCCATAAGTCCATGTTGGACTGCCTACATATGTCTGTTGATGTAGTATATCCCCCGCTGAGTTTGTCATGAAAAGTCAATTATTCCAGTAACCATAGATCCAAACTAGATCTGACGCTAAACATGCAATATGATGTACACCTTTAACACCTGTCACCGTGACAGTCTTGTGTAACACAGGGTTTAGACAACAGTTTTAATGGACGGCCATTGTTTAATTGTCTTTTCCCCGTCATTATGATTTGGAAGTCTCTTTCTAGCTTATTTATACTCTCGATGTTCATTTCTTCACTTTTGAAGTACAAAGCTTGATGCATAAGAAAAGGAGTATCGTTTTCTTTCCGGAACGTGGATCTTCTTTAGAAAAGGGAGAATATTCATCGGTCTCTTTGTTGACTGTTCAAATTTATGTTCATAGTTCTCTATCATGGCAAGGTGTCTGTTCATATTCCTAGTTTCTTGTTGTTGTTTTCTATTAATATAACGTTGGTGTCTAATTTTAACTTCACAAATTACAGTGTCAATAAGGTCCTTTAGTCTCTGTGGTTTAGTTGATATTTCTGATTGAAGTTTGGATATTTTTTGTGACAATTATTTTTATCATATTTTATTCTCTTTAGGTGATATAAAAAAATCATGAAAAATGTTTCTTTTAATATTTTGAATGAATGCTCTGTTTTAATGACTCTTTTGAATATATGCTGTTCCTATATCAAGTAATTTATGTTTTACATGTTCACTACACTGAGGACAGAGAAGAAGTTCACATGATTCACAATAATTTTCATAACCTCTGTCTGTGTGTATCTTACATTTCTTTTCTTTTGAAATTTTTCTATATTTTTCGCGGTTAATCACAACGTCATGGAACATATGTCTTTGTTTACACGACAGACAAATGTCACGTGTACAGGTGAAACAAGAAAAGCCAGCGTCCGCCCAGCAATCTGAACACTCGCGTACTTTACACTGTGTGCTAACCCCTACCTTGTTCATGATGTGTAGAGTCTAGTTTATGTTTTTAACCTAAACATTTTATATTGGATTGTTCAAAGAGCACTTCATTGGATGCATCCTGAAAAAAAAATAAAAATAATACTTTAACTCAACTAAAAAAATTTAAAAGTTAAAATGTGGAGATAACGAACAATATTCAAGCTCAATGATCCATTTAAAATCGTTACAAATCAGCATCACAGCAAACAAGGACCTCTTTAAACATCAGAGGTGGAATCAGGTGCCATGGAGGAATGAGGATACCCTGCCGACAATTCTCCTTGTCAGGAAGATCAGAAATATATTAAACGTTCTGGTTATATTGCAATAAAGGTATCTGCTTTCGATTCAAATGGAATTTTTATTAATACTTGTGTCAGCTATTGTAAACCTAAACGCATAAAATCAAAACTTAATTTTTCATATGAAATTGTTGACAAATAAGATGATGAAGCAAGAATTATAACAGTCTGGTTTAATTCAATCATTTATCAAATTCTAAGGTGGAAACAATAACCTTGTGTGGAAATACATGAAGTTATCATGAATATGAAGGCTGAACGACGATTTCCATTATTTTTCTAAGAAGTGAAACATATGGAGATAACGAACATTTAAATGAATCAATAAAACAATACAAAATATACAGGATTAAAACAAGGTCCTCACATAAAACAATACAGTTTATTAAAGAAGTGAGCTTCTCCTGCCGACCAACACATCCGCCGTGTGCTCCTTGTCATGATCAGGAAAAATACATTGCCAATTTGGTTTATAATGGACTAACAATAAACATGAAAACAATCAGTCAGCATTTGACTCAGTGATAATTGTATTTGTTGACAAGACCATTGTATCGACTATAGAACTAACGGAAATGATGACTTTAAAGGAGACAACTGATATTCTTGTTTTCATCAACTTGTTGTCAATAATTTACCATGTTTTACAAATTTGTTATACCTAGAGCAAGCTCTTGATATATCGAATCAACTGAAATACGTAAGCTCCATATGTACGTGATGAAATTATACATCTATGGCTGCATAGGTAGGGGAAGTTACGGTAGAAATGTAATTTTTGAGAAAAAATTAAACTAAAGTAGTCAAGGCAACGAATAAAGATTTAGGTGAACTATCAAAAAAAGAGATGTTTCATCAGCGTGTTGACTCATTTTATGTTCTTTATCAGGTATCATAATACTCTTTATATCTTTATTTTGTTTGATCAAGACTGCTAGAATTTCGGCACACAGGAGAAACAAATATGGTGTCATCATGTCTACATCCCCTCTCTATATCAATTTGTTCTGATAAAAAAAAAAACACTTTGTAACACAGAAGCCTTAAATTTGTGTAAAGAATCTTGATCCATTCAATTATATATTCACCGAAGCAAAAATATTTTAAAACTTTATAAATAAAAGTCCAAGAAATATAGTGTCAAAAGCGTTTTAAAAATCAATCAACAAAAGTAATCCAAGTATATTTTTTCGGTCAGTATATTCCATTAAATCATAAATAAATCTTGTATTCTCTCCAAACCTGACTGAGTGTCTGAAATAAGATACTCTAATGTTGATTTAATTCTAAAACTTAGACACCCTGAAATTAATCTGTAAACCACATTTAGTATAGGCTCGCCCGTTTCTTAAAAATTGTCTAAGTTTGTCTCCCTTTGGCAAACATGAAATAATTCCCAATCATTGAGAAACAGAGAGCATCTTACTGACGAAAATGCAATTTATTTACTGACATATAATTTGTTTCAGATCCCTCCAGAATTTTTTTTAAAAATTCAACTGTATTTCCATCACTTCCTTAGGACTTATTGTTTTTCATATTTCTTTTTGAACTTTAAGGATTTCATCTTCAGATTTTTTTCTTTTTATTCTGAGATGTGTTTATCTAATTTTAATAAATTGTATTTGCTACCAAGGTATTTGGTTCGAATATAGAACTTACGAAATGATGACTTTAAACGAGACAACTGATATTATTGTTTCATCAGCTTGCTTGTCAATAATTTACCTCGTTTTAGAAATTGTTCATACATAGAGCATGGTTTTGCGTGTGGAATCAACTGAGAACAATCTTGACATACACAAAATTCAAGTTCCATATATATAACCATACATGTTTACCACTATGAAATGATCAAGAAGTTTCTTAATATTACTATTCATATACATGTGTACATGATGAAACAGTACACAACTCACAACAATGTACTTCAGATAGCATATAATTTGACTAAATATCATTAGTTATGTAAACATTTAGAGGGGTGATACGGAAATATGTGGGCCCTTGAAAAAGCTCCTGTTTTGTAGTGTTTTATGGACATTTGATCTTGAATACTGTTCGTTATCTCCATATGTTTTCTGATAAAGACTGCCACTTTTTTGTTTGTCATTATGAGTTTGTTTTCCAAATTGCGTATCCAAGCATTTTTTGGGTGTAAAACAAGAAAATCCGATCTACACCTTATGAACATTATTCCTTATTTGTATGAAATGAATTTTATTCTATTCCCGTTGTTAAATAAGAATAAAGTTTATAACACTTTTCTTGCACTTATTGCTAAGGTATGCATTGATTTAAAGTCATTTTCTATTATAATGTGATGGGTCGGCATAAAGAGCATCGGAGGCCAAGATTGCATTTTACTTTTCTATGGGAGGCAACATATATCCTCCCTGCGTATCTTTTTAATGAATAATTTAAAAGGACACTTTTTTTATATCACAAGCATATGATAATTGAATCATCCAATTTAGAACTAATTATGGGTCTGAAAAAGAGTCTGTCACAGTTTGTTCGTTTTTTTTTTAAATAATGTGAGGATTTCGTTTCTTAAAACTGAAAGATATATGAATGACTCTACTCTAGAGTATACTTTGAATTTGCAATTAGATGTGAATAAGGAATGTGTCTACCGTAGAATACAGGGACACATTTTAGTTCCGTATCCACTCATTAAAAGGAGGTGTAAGTGTTTTGAGTGTATGTAGGTTAATGTATTGTGTATCTCAAGTAGAGTGCATCTTATGAATGAAATTCAACCTATCTTCTAATAAGTAACATTGTCATTTACTTGAAGTGTTTATTGGCTAATGTTGTATTTCCTACACTCCGAGTACTTGTTGGAAAATCTTGTTAACTTTTTTATTGTCTGTAATAGGTTAAATATACAGGTACATTTTTACATATTAAACTCGGTTCATAAGGAAGCTGCCTCCCCAGTATTCAAAGTGTAGCCTCAATCTTTTTATTCTTATATTTTCACATGTTTTCATGAATTCATTTGAATAAATATTCCCCTAAAAAAACATCATGCTAAAACAGCAATCCATGGATGACGATGCTTCTTTACAATATAAAATGAAACCTATATTCTTCTCACTCTCTTTAGTCAACTTCTAAAATTTCCTACCGCTTCGACAGAATTGAGTTTGTCCTGCTTTGATATACTTATTTGCACATTTGTTTCAAAAAGGTAAGTATTCAAAAGATACACACATAAAACAAAATACGACTCACGTCTTCAAAAAATAATACCATAAAAAAATAAAGCTTTTGAAACATACAAAGACAGTAAAAACTAACAACAGGAAAGTAGTAAATTTTTAAAGAAAAAATGTGTACACACATTTTCAATAATTAATACATCCTAAGAGCGGAGAAATCACGGATCTCTGAAAATTTAAGAGTTGCAATCAGGAGCTATACAGGAGTAAGCATCCCAGACTCGCCATGTTTTCCTTTTTTGCCATACACAGAAAAAAAAAACAAACCAACAGAGACCATTTTTTACAAAGTACAGTTGGTAACAAGTCTGTCAGAATTTGTCTTAATGATTTATCTGAATATATTCCGTCATCTCTGTATTTCTTTTTGAAATAAAAACTACTAAATAATGAATTTTTTATGGTAATACTCTTTATGTGAGACACCCCCTACCACGCTTTTCAGCTACAACAAAAACACTGAACAAATGCAATCTGACCCATTACATTGATACTGAATGTCAGTGATAAACATTCGTATGTCATATACCTAGTGGTGTAATCAGCCCTAAAAAAGCAGCACCTGGGAGGTAGGGTTGTCTTGCCCTCGGAGTTGATAAATTTCTGTCTTGGCCCGTCGTCAAGGGGTTGTCTCGCCCTCAAATTTCAAAGCATTATATCTGCTTAATTTTTCATTTAATGTTTTTCGAAATGAAATGTTTCAAAACACCGGGACTATTCTTTTTGATGACAGACCAGGCAATTATTACTCTGTATGATTATTCATTGTGAAGCAACATCTTAAGGAACATCAAAATAAATAACTCTTATTTTAAACATAAAATTATATAATTTTTTAAAATAAAAATATCTAAATGTTTCTTTTTTTCTTTGGATTAAATGTATATTAGAACAACAGCACACAACTGTTTTGATTTCGGTCCTTGTATTAGCCCTATGGGTTTGGCACGATACAAACCGTTCGGGTTGATACCAGAGATCAAAACAGCAGTGTGACATTTATGTCGCTCCGAAGGAAGTCGGGCGATATATTGCAATTGTACGCATGTTTTTGTTATACGGGCTGTTTCTCAGAGATGGCTGGGAAATCCTCTTCAAACTTTCCTCAAAGGAGAATATCACTGCTTTTAGGTGTGGTGTATCGTTATTCAGTTTCAATATAGCAACTGACTGTTGCCATGGATACCTACAAAAAGCCTAATTTTGTTCACGAGTGTTCTCTCTGGTCCCTTCGACAGTTGTCATGACATTTTACTGATTAAACAATCGGCGAAATGACTAAAGGGGTTCAGAAGTTTACATTTGACTTGAAAATCATATGGAAAGTTCCTTTTCGATTGCTAAATATGTATTTTTAACATTAATTAGAAAAAAAAATGGTTAAAGTTTGTACTTATCCCCAAACTATCTTTCAGACAGTTATGCCACTATAAGAACGTTTATTTTATATCCCCTCAAAATAATCTCGATATAACTTGGTCAGAACGATTATATTTTTGTAAGTGTCGAAGATCTGCCTGATGAACATTTTCCTTGGAGACAAAATACTT